CAGTCTACGAGGGTCTGCAGTTGGTGTTCCGTCAGCAAAAGCTAACAACAGAGACCAGCGTCACTCACATCAGACAGTGCATCATCGCAAGCATGTACAACGGCAACCTTCAGTGTGAGGGATAGGTGGACACCGCGCACGGATGGGAAGGATAGGTCTATGAACTGTTAGTATGTGTGCGTGAACGAGAAGTATGTTACTCACCGAATGGCTCATCTCCATGACTGAGTAGCTCATGCCATGACAATCGAAGTTTCCCGATGACTTCTCCACTGCCTAGCATTCAATCGGTCTCATAGGACGCCCTGATTTCGACCGAGAATGCAGGTGATGCCTGGAGTGATCTATGAACCGAAGGTCAGTTCTCGAATCATGCGCGGAAGTTACCAGGGACTTTACAGGGTCACAGTATCGACCCACACTGCTGATTCTTCAGATGATAAGACACTGGTGGCCGAATTCCAGCGTCTCCGGGAGTCGACATTGATGGATATGTAAATGCCAGCGGGTATGCGCTCCGAAGGGACTTTAAAATCCTTTCCACAGAGAACTGTAGATAGAGCATAACAATCATGAAACGGATACAAAGGCGACATGGAATAACCCGCCTTCAAGTGTAACATATCGTTCTTTTAAGCTACTATGTGTGATGGTGGGACGAAACAAACGACGAACGACACGCAGCATCGGAAATTGAGAGGGGTTCAGAATGAGAAGGCTGAGGGTGGGCAAAATGAGTGGGACTGTGGATGGAGTTTGACTTGAAGGGAGAAGAGAAGATGCTGAAGCCTCAGGTCATGCTGTATGTGTATGTCCGCGTTGTCGAGGGCGATAGACGATGGTATGGTTGCACCTGGCAATGACATTCAAATCATATTGAAGACTGCGGGCAAAGAAAAGCTGAATGATCTTATACAGCTCGCCTATTGGAGGAGAGAGCATTACGAATTTGCGAGAACATGACAAGTTGCAATCAATATGGAGGATGACATGCAAACCGCCACGCACAGAAAAGCTGAATGATGAGCACTGAGGGCTTCATGGTCTTTGGACTCCTGCACACTACTTATTAACTTTGTGTTCCATGACAGTACTACTTACAACTTGGCAGATGTGCGGTAGGATGGTCTTGTCCACCCCATTTCGTTGCGGTACGGGAGATATTGTGACCCACAAGTTACAACTCGACAAGTATTTGGGACAGCATGACGCAGCATTGCGAAACCAATTTTACGAGTAAAAAGCCAGTACTTGTGCACCACCATGATTGCCTTTGGTTGCTATGGCTCAGCGCTCAGCACTCGGGATGCAAATAAGTTGGTTCGGCAGAGTCGACACACAATATTAATGTTACGTTGATGAATGTTAACAATTAATTAATTAGTAGTTAGGCGCGCGTTGCTTATGTCAATTTTCATCGGAGCAGGCCAAGCAGCGTTGGCTTCCATTAGGGCTCAATTAATTGCCAATCTATCTAGGGACAATTGCCCCCTGATGCAGATGCTCACCAGTTCGCCGTCCGGCGATGAGATGACTGTAAGGTACCCATAATTGAACCATACTTACTCCTGGATCCCTCATCCTTTCAATCACCGCATTGACTGAACCTAATCTTATGGGTGAGCATCTGGTGTTCCACTCAGATCAAGAAAAGTCGTAGCAAGCAAACTGCAGTGGGGAGGAGAAGCACCTTTGACATTCCACAGAATCGTATTGCGTCTCTAGTGCACATGCCTCCGTAGGGATACATCATGCAAACCAAATAGACTCGCAACGCAATTAACAAATTATGCTATCCAAATATCCATGTCATGTCCGAATGTCCGAACGCATCACAGCTCGCTCATCTCCCTGTGATGCTTCACCTTCACAGAATCCGCTTGC